TGGTCAAGAACGGTTTAGAACTATCACTACCGGTAAATTTCAAAAGGATAAACATGAACTAGTGGAATAGGCTTTTGCTGAATCTGGAAATTTATAGAATTACTTTTGGATCTTAATCCATTGGATAAGTGACCACTATTTTCTACTTATGATAGAAACATGGATAATCACAGTGATTGGGAAATCAAAATTTCAATTTTATCATTTCAGTTTACCCATGTATGGAATATTGGGATTAGTCTTCAAAATAAACTTATCATATCTCCATTCACTCAAAAAGGTTCCCCGGTTCAAAACAGATTTTTCTCCCAAAAAACGTTAGGTTTTAATGTCAACTTTCATGGAAACATGGATAATCACAGTGATTGGGAAATCAAAATTTCAATTTTATCATTTCAGTTTACCCATGTATGGAATATGGGATTAGTCTTCAAAATAAACTTATCATATACTCCATTCTCTAAAAAAGGTTTCCCGGTTCAAACAGATTTTTCTCCCAAAAAAAGTTAGGTTTTAATGTCAACTTTCATATTTAAGTACATTCCTATAACCGCTAGTAATAGAACGTTTTTAAACAACTTAGCCATTGACTGTTCAAGAAAAGCTGTGAGTGTCTGTAGGATAGTGTACACAATGTGACAACGGAGACCGGAGAGTGGCTGAGTTAAAACAATAAATAAAAAATGTAAAGGTATAAGGGACCATTCATAATATAAAAGCCTGTGCTTTAGCTGAGTTGACTAAAAAGAAATATTGCACCCTACTAGCCAAGCCATCCTTTTCTTACCTTTGTCATTCCTTTAATGTGCACCCTAATTTCTGTTTTATGTTTGTGCTAATGTTTCCTTCCAGCATACTACCGTGGTGCCATGGGTATTTTGCTGGTTTATGATGTTACAGATGAATCGTCTTTTAACAGTAAGTTTTTTTTCCTAATTTTGTTATGCCGCTCGCGTGACAGACTGTGTATGCTATGGTCTGCACTTACCAGTTACCATTTGTATCTCTCTCTGTCTTTTTCCTATCGGATTTTGATTTATTTTCAGATATTAGGAACTGGATCCGAAATATTGAGCAACATGCCTCCGACAACGTAAACAAAATACTTGTAGGAAACAAAGCTGACATGGATGAAAGCAAAAGGGTATATACGTTTTAATACATAAAGTTCCTTTTGGGTTTGTTACTTTTTCTTCTGCTTTGAAACCCATGTTCTTTACTGTATGGATTAAGGAAGCAAAGATAAGAATCAAGAAGAATAAAATCTGTAAGAATTGTGAGGAAAGGTTATGATGAATTGATGCAGACGACTTTGTCACAATGGCTTTTTGCATCAATTTATATTTTTCTATTATTTTAAGAAAATAGTTGACAAAGTAAACTTCTTGAAACCAATCCCAACATACTTGGGTTAAGGTGCATAATATGATGATACACTCTGTAAAAGAAACTGATAAAAGGAAAAATCCTTTTTCTATTTCTTCATTATAACAATTTTAGCAAGGTGATTTGGATTAGATGGTTGAATTTGCTGATTTTATTTCAAAGTAAATGTTCGGTAAAATCCGTTTGAGCCAAATAAATGAGTCAAAGGTCACCTGTTCTGATTTGTCTGCTCATAACCAGATTAAGCCGATTTATGTCCCCAGACATGGCCTCAGCATGTTTCTTACACCTCACCACACATCGCTGAATCTAATTCTACTTTATACTCTGTACAGGCTGTTCCTACATCCAAAGGCCAAGCACTTGCCGATGAGTATGGTATTAAGTTTTTCGAAACTGTAAGCATATATCCAAAGCACTAATAAGAACTTTTGTTTTTACTTTGTGTTTTTTTCTTAGAGGTATTTTCACTTTTCCTGTAGAGTGCTAAAACAAATCTTAATGTGGAACAAGTATTCACTTCAATAGCAATGGACATAAAGAAAAGGCTTTCAGACACAGACTCAAAGGCGGAGGTAAATAAGCTAATCCCGTTTGTGCGACGGTGCTGTTATGTTCTAAAGTTGTTTGCGTGCGTAATAAGAATTTATTTGGCTTCAGTATGTTTTTTTTAAATTCTGCAAATGCAACATTTTTGGATCCAAATTAAGTATATGGATGATTTGCAGCCTTCCACAATCAAGATAAACCAATCCGAATCAGGATCTACCTCTGGCCAACCTGCACAACAATCTGCTTGCTGTGGTTCATAAGGCGGCCAAGTTGAATGAGAAGTATCACCTGTTTTAACCGTGATTATATATACTCATTGCCATAAGAACAATGAATCATCTGGAGTAGGACTAGCTCTGATGACTAATATATTGGGAGCTTTGTATTTTCTTTATATTAGTTTGTTGATTAGAATCTTGTGTGGAAGATAGATCTTTTGCTTATTTGAGACTCATTTCTGTTGTGCATGTCCACATGGATAATGGATTATGCACAATTGATTGATAGGGCACAATTTGTATTCTAAAAATTCAACCATGTTTGAGTGTTACTTGGCCACTACAGTTTAACCAGAAACTTCCCTTACATAATCATATATAGCCCACTGACATGGCCTTTAATTGGCGTTTGGACCACTTGTAGTATTACCTAAAAGAATTATAATCGTTTTTTTGAAAGGTAATGTGAGATTATGAGAGCTTAAATAACTTTAAGTCAGAATACTCATGTTATCTGTCTTTCTTTTTACGTGAACATAGCTTTTAATAACATTGTTAATATGGAGTAATAGAGAAATCACTCATCAGGCCGGCTGACGAGCTGCCCCGTCCGGCCGAGCCCGTTTGGGCACCTTCCTGGTGGAATTTTTTGATGAATTTTTTTGAGCATGTTCCGCATCAAGTCTAGTTTGTCCATACCAAATTTCAGCTCAAAATTCGATCGGGAAGGTCGTCAAATGATTTTTGCAAGTTAACTGGTCCGGACTCCGGAATATGTATTTTCCGGACCAGTTAACTTGGAAAAATCATTTGACAACCTTCCCGATCGAATTTTGAGCTGAAATTTGGTATGGACAAACTAGACTTGATGAGGAACATGCTCAAAAAATTTCATCAAAAAATTCCACCGGGAAGGTGCCCAAACGGGCTCGGCCGGACGGGGCAGCCCATCAGGCCGGCCTGATGAGAAGAGCTCTCTGGAGTAATAATGTTAATGTTATCGGAAACATGAGTTATATTATTGTGTACCTCTCTGACTTAATATTAAAGAGAAAAGGTTTGAAAATTCCAAAATAGAATTGTCATGTTTTTATTCTCAATATAGGACTAATTACTGTCTTGTTTTGGCAGTACCAGACTTCAAACATGACAGTATTTTCTAAACTTGGCAATAATTACTCCTATTTTGGGAATAAAAAACATGGCAGTCATATTTTGGAATTTTCAAACTGTTTTAGTCCTATTTCGGGAACTTTCCCAATATTAAATTGTATATCTGCCAAATAAGAGAATCTTTAATGCTACATTGTTAACATGGAACAAATTGGGACACATGGCAATCAATAAATGGAATAGTCTTCCATGTCATTTACAAGTGATATAAACAATCTTTCGAATCCAAATTCCAAAATTATTGTCCAATGCATAATGTTCACACCCATTGTGATGTTTACGTGCAATGAACCTGTTTTTTAAAAAAATTAATAAAAATCAACAAAAAAAATTCAGCTGCACGTGAAACAAACCCACTACTTGCTGCATGTGTATATCGTGGGCTCGTGCCTCGTGGTGTTAGTTTGGAGCGCGTAGGATTTGGCATTGGCAGCAGAATTTCCCTGATTTTTCTACACTTTGCGTGCTTCTCCAACGAAATTGGTTGAGTTAGCGATGTCAACTACGCTGTTATTTATAAACAGTCAGGGCAACACTGTTGACACTAATTTTTGACACATCACCATTACGTGATTCCAGATTTGATATTCTGATCCATTGGAGACGTGAATTTCAGATACATTGTTAACATTGATGAATCGGCTATCTTTATTAATGTTAAAGGATACCCATTGGTGATGCTCTAAGCATTATACGTATTTATTTATTCAAGGGTCAAATAGGTACATGAGTTAACTTAAAGTGTTCAATTAGCCCCTTATATAGGAGGTTCTGCCCGGCCGTCGCCAATTGGGGCGGTTCCCGGTGGAATTTTTTGATGAAATTTTTTGAGCATCTTCTTCATTAAGTCTAGTTTACCCATATCAAATTTCAGCTAAAAATTAAATCGGGAAGGCAGTCAAATGATTTTCCGAAATGTATTGCGCTGTTTAACTGCGCAGTTATCTTCAAAACATCATTTGACTGCCTTTCCGGTTGAATTTTTAGCTGAAATTTGGTATGAGTAAACTAGACTTAATGAAGAAGACACTCAAAAAATTTCATCAAAAAAATCCACCGGAAATCGCCCCAATTGGCAATGGCCGGGCAGAACCTCCTATATAAGGGGCTAATTGAACACTTTAAGTTAGTTCATGTACCTATTTGACCCTTTAGCCTTTATTCAAGTATCTGAATCTCTTTAAATAACCCGCTCCAAGTTTAAATTTAATAGCGAGGATTCACCTTGCGGATTTTTTTCATGTCACACCATCTCGTTTTACAATGCATATATTCTTTGGGATACCCATCTTCACCACACTAATATTCTCAATAAAATATTTAATCCTGCACATAACCTTTAAAAACAATCACTCAAAATAATAGGACCATCCCCCCTTTTTATACAGTTTTTATGAAAGCCTAAAATCAAGAAAACGTGAGATAGAAAAAAGGAGAAACAAAAAGGTAAAAAGCTTAGCAGGCAGACTAAAGAGGACAAATAGAAGAGGGAATGCACTATGGACCTGGGGATGGACACAACCTAGTTTGGTTCTTCCCGCAGCTCCAGATCTAATTCTAGGCGGCCCAGCCCTTTCTATATATTTACTTAGAATCCCTACTTCTCTACCCTAATATGACTGTTATAGGTACTTGGACCAATTCTTGTACTGGAAATAAAAAACAAAAAGAAACATAATTTGAATTGGAACCCATTAAACCGTAACCCTAAGAACATCTGGTTCAGTTTTGATTACACCATTTCCAGTTCAATTCCAAAACTGCCAGTCCCTATTAGCACTTTTGCATGTACTAGTATATACAAAATGAGATAACAAGTCCATCATGATGTGTCTTCTAATTTCAAAATTGCCACAAAAAATGGAAATGTGTTCTGTACACAATAGAAACATCTGACCTTACAAGCAACACTGACCCCCCTCCCTCCCCAAAAGTACCAGTTACAAATTCAGTTCTTCCTTTCCATAGATCCGCCGAAGTTCACGAGTAGCAGCTTGGTATGATTCTGAAATGAAAAATAAAAAGTATTCATCGAGTTTAAGTGGCATCCTGGTGGTTATGTAAGCTTAAGGCCTGTTTAGGACAGCATATGAGGAGCAAGTGCTTTCTCACTGGAGCAATTAAACTGCTTCTTAAATGAGAATTAAAAACACTTTGTTTTTAAAAAAAATCATTTCCAAATTCATTTCAAACGCTTCTCTGGAGTACAAGAGCACTTCTTCCTTGAAAAAAAGTCCTGCCAACTTCACTCTAAATGTGCATGTGTGTTTGGGGATAGGAATGGGGCATTAAGTGTTAACCTTTCCATATTTTGAAAGCTTTTTGGTTGATAGGGGAGCCAGTAACAGACTGAATAGCAACAAACAGCTCACTCTCTCTTGTGCTTCTTAGCTCCTGGACAATCTGATAAATGGTCTTACCATTCTCAAAGTATATGTGATTATTTGGGTGCTTTGTCTTGCAACCAGCATGACGTTCAAACTCATAAGCATTCAGTGCCTTTCCAAAGAATGAAAATGGTGAAGATCATAATGGAGTTCGAAAAGAAAGAGAACATTACAACTGGACAATGAAAAGCTTTTACCTTAGAATAGTTACATGTTTGGCAGCCACATAGATATCCAGAACCTTTTATAACCCCAGGCAGCTCCTTAATCACATTGACAGAAGGTTCCCAATAAGTAAAAGACCAATAAAGGTGACAGAATGCAAATTGCATTACCCAGGACCCTTGAGGTTTCTGAAAATTCCACTGCCCATGCAGATTTTCTGCAATCAACCCCTTTAACACTAAAAGGTTATAGTCTTATAGAATATAATGACATTAACAAGAAAAGTGGACCTTAAGATTGAATTCATCCAATTTGTTCTTTTAAATGCCATTTTATAGGCTAAACTCTTCAAAGATCTCTTTAAAGAAGAATCTCCAAGGAAAACTTTAAGGGAATTTGCTACGAAAAACGTGATTCCTACCAATATCATTATGTCCTATATCCTTCAACGTTATTTGTGGAAAATCTGACTGGTCAATGATCTTATTTATAATTTAAATTTTTAAAAACCATGAAGGCTGAAGGCAATGGGAATTTGGCCAAACCTCGAGGAAGTAAATGTAATTTACCCACTAATTATGGTACCTCTCTAGAAACGGAAACATATTTCACAGGCACCCCATCAAGCATCCCTGTTGACATCAAACTTCTAACATTTGATGGAAAGCTGTTTGGGGCTTCTTTCTTAGCAGGTTTTTCATCTGACTTTGTCTTCGGAATGGATTTAGTAACTTGAGCCTGGCAAACAATTGTTGTGTTCAAATTTGATCTATCTAAATCCTTGTCGACTTCAACTGGAGATGTTTGAACGGTGGATTGATTATAAAAATATTCATAGCTGCTAATTGGTCTTCCCAGGGCATCAATATCAGCATCCTCTTGATATCCACTGAATGGAGAGTTGTTATTACTGTCATCTACTTGCTTACCATAACCTTGTTCCATTGATATGTAAGCTTCTTCAGATCTCTCATTGTACACCTCCTGATGATTCATGGGAAAACCGATGTTTTGTTCCTTGACCTGATTAACTTTTACTTTTCTAACTCCACCGTAATTAATGCATGACTCAGGTTCTTCGATATTGTAAGACATTGACAAACCAACAAACGAATCATTCCCAAGCTCTTCACCGATCACCTTTTCCCTCAAGTTTCTTTCACCTAAACATACTGACCCTTCCATTTGTTCTGATCCGAAAAGCCGACCTACGAATTGGTTTGGAATGGACTGAAAAGTAGACAAGTTATCCCAAGATAGAGAACTTGAATCTGGCTTGCTGACTGAGGAAGCTTCAATGGCTTGTTTTTTGTTAGAAATTAGTTCTTGTTCAGTTGTTTCTGCTAACCACTGGTGGGCCCGCTTTGGTCCAAGTGTGGATGATCCATCAAAGACTGTCTCATCATCTGACACATGCCCAATCCCTTTTGGGATCCAAAATTCTTTCCCATGGAAAGACTATAGACATTATAAATACAAGTACCCCAGTCGGTAATTTTAACTTATGAAAGTTCAGATTAACATAAAATATATTGCATTCAGAAATTTGAAACTTGACAGAAAAGGAACACTGGTTAAAATGATGCTTATAACATTATCCTAAAAGGGTCACCCTCCATACATTTTTTTGTCCCTAAAAAATTTCATTTGATCAAACGAAGATAATTTGGTATACAATCCAGCCATGATTTATGAAAGTTGTACCTTGGCAAAATAAAAAAAGTTGTAGATTTGTCAAACATGACGATCTTTGGGGTAAGGAAATATATGAACAACAGAAATAGATTTTTTATGGGTTTTCACTCTTCAGCCACAAGACCCCACACTACACCACGGAAGTAGAAACAATGGCACTTTGAATGATCAACATTTCCCTTTATCTATCACTAACAGTTAATGACATTTCTGATTCCCAACACTATAACCTTCTATATGCATCAGTAAACAGATGCAAGGAAAGAACATCCACATTCCCACCACTAGTTTGTGAGGTAGAGGTTTAGAAGAGCATAGTATAAGGAATAACTGAAGTAAAAAAAGAATCACTACCATAGAAAGCAAAATGATTACAAAAAAGAAGAGTTCATGTAGAAATAGTTTGATCAAAGTAACAAGAGATATGATCAACAATTGTCCGATAAGACAATCAAAGTAAGACGATACACAAAGTTTGTCCAGCTTTACTCATTCAGTCCAAGGCTTGCTCTAAACATTACCTCACCCTCACACTATTACACATTACATGCATAACCAAACTAATATTTGAGGAAAATTCCAGCAAACAAGCGCATTTCCAGTTTCCCGCAAAGGGAAATAGATTAATACACGTTTAGAAATCAAATTTGAACTTTTGAACAAGTATAACAAGCAACAGCTTACCATTTTGCCGTTCCCACACTTCCACTTCAATCGATCAGTTCAATAGCCTCCATGGACAACCAGAACACTCCTGTTTTCCGATCCCAATAAAAAAAGGAGCACAAAAATTGAATATCCCATTGAGCACGAACTATTTTACATTTCACAAACAGCAAAAAAAAGATCTTAACAGTTTAGACTGAAAAACTCAAGAGCCCTAACCTTAACATTGAAGGAAAAAAGAGATCGCGCGTTTGAATCTGTTGCAGCGGATGCGTGAAATAAACGGATGAACTTGCCGGAAAAAAAGGCGGGCAACTGCGGTAGTTGTAATTACAGAGTGACCGTTTTGTGGTGGAGAAGAGAATTGTTACGGTGGCTGAAGAGCACTGGATCTTTGCTCGCAAATGAACTGTACGGTTTTAAAGGAAACTTCTTCGATGGATTATTACTGTTACGATTATATCCTTGACGTACACGTGTCTGATTGCAAGTTTATCTCTGCCGTTTATTTTCCTTTGCCCAAGCTCTTTCAGTTTTTCCCATGAAGGGCACGTTTGGTAGGCCGTGTTTGGGAATTGGAAGTTGAAATACTTTAACTAATAAGTGCACTTGAAATGAAACTTATTTGAGAAAATGGAAACTAATAATCCAATCTCTTAGCGATCTTCTTACAATGTTTCCACATTTTCGTTATTCATGAATAATTCAACCTTTGCACCTCATCTTCAACTTCCAGTCCGTGACCGTTCGATGACATGCTATTCCAAGTTATTTTCCTATCTTTGCAAACCATTATACCATAAATCTCACCTTTCACAAAGATAATATTTTGCAAAGATAAGAAAATAACTTGGAATAACAGGTCATTAACCGGTTAAGGACCAGCGAATGAAGATGGGGTGCAAAGGTTGAATTATTCTTGAATAACGAAAAAGTGGGACTATCGTAAGAAGACTGCTAAAAGATTGGATTATTAGTTTCCATTTTCTCAACTTATTTTTTAAAAGTATGGTTAATAGAAGTAGTTATTATTGTATAAATTGATACCGTAGTAGTAGTTAAAGTGTAAATTGAACAAAGTCACGGCTAACTTATGACTATGATCACTAGTTCACTATTACGTTTAGAATGTCACATTTTTTTGATCGCCTTTTTTCATATCATAAATTTCAGGATCATTACATCAGTCAAAGGAAAAACAAAATCGTCACTAACTAAATTCCAACAACTACGACTGTAAACCCTATGATCAGACTTAGAGACGGTCACCCCTGAAAGAGCAACGCGAATCGCTAACCATGTAGCGGGCTTCACATAGCCATCCATGTTCCCATAGATCCAAACATACTCAATGACAAAAAAAGGCTGAAATCCCAAACAAACTTACAAACCTAACAACATAGACGATAACAAGAATCCAGATGACAAAAAAATAATAACTAATAACAAAAGTTTCACGGACTCTATCACATCGTACAACCCACGACGGTGGTTCCGGAGGAGGCCGTATACTTGGTACCATTCGAATTGACCCACCGTTGTCAATCATCATCTGATCTGCTCGAAAGCCGCGCAATTCTCCTCGTCCAGCTCTCTTAGCAAATCCCCCGCTAGCGGTCATCTTCATCGCTGCCATGCCCTTGCTACCCAAACTCATTCTTCCTCCTAAAAAAAGAGAACCAATCGGATTTGCCCACTACACACCAACAATCCTGTTCGGAATACGAGCGTTTGGAAGACAAAAATCCGGCGAAATTGCAAAGCAGCGCAAAACTGTTCGAAAAAGCAGCCTCGCGTCGGCCAAAACTTCCAAGACCTAGGAAGGTTTTTGAAGAGATTGTACGCCAACCGAAGAAAAGTAGCCGGCTGGCCGAAGCCACCGTAGCCCACGACCTGAGGAGATCGCCGCCGGAGAAAGAGCTAGGCGTTGCGTGAGGCAACCCTAGAGAGACAAAATGTCACATTTTTTAAAACAACAATTTTTAATTTTATTTTTTGGAAAAAAATAACATTTTTTATTCAATAACTATGCTTATGATGTCACTACTATACTTAGTATATTTTTCTAATAAAATACACAAAGATTGAATGTAATAAAAGCTTAAAGTGCTTAAATTCAATCTGACTTATCGATCATGGGTATCAACCTTAACTTGTTTTGAACCCTAGCTATATGACTTCGGTTCCATTTGATAACCCAATTTTCAGTTTGTCGACCATGGGTATTAAGCGCTGTTTTTTTTTTTTAATTTGCGTACGCAATCATGTAATAATAAAATATAAGTAGTTTTAGTTATTTTCTTGATTGAATTTACTAAAGTGGCCGAAGCCAATTTACCTTTCTTCCATACAATTGTTTTCTTATTTTTATTTGTAATACATATTTTGAATGCACTTTTCAGTTTTCATATTTCACGAATTCAATCAATAAAATCAGTTGGTTTCATAATTACCAACCGACTCTAATTCTTACTATTAAGTGTCCAAACTACTACTCATTCTGTGTCAAAATGATTTGCAAAACCAATTTTTCATGATCAGTTTCACTTTATCGATCTACTTATCTAACCCACCCGTAATTTTTTTATAATGTAATTTTGTTTCGTGACTTTATGGAACTTCAATGCACTTTTCAAATATGTAAATTTTACTAACCAAACCTGATTTAAATATTCACAAGGATGATTTAACTTTATCGCTGCTCAACCTTAAAATACGCAAATGACAATTCAGTTCGGGGATAGAGGAAGTACTCCCTCCGTCCCAATTTGTAAGATACATTACGGTTTACGATGTTTGACTGACGATAAAGCAAATTGATCCCTGTCAACACTCAAATTAGTTCTAGAAAATAAAATTACATATTCAGAAACTACATTAAAACCGCTACAAAACCTGCAAAAAATAATTCAAATTTCATAAACTTTTGATATATAAAATAAAAGATTAAGAGTGATTTGTGTTGACCAAGTGAATAGTAAATGTATCATACAATTTGGGACTGAGGGAGTACTATATAATGAGACACGAGTTGGAAGTATAAACGGAATGATTATTGATCTATTCAAAAAGGGGAGTAGAAGTTGATAAAATCTATTTGAGTCTTTGAGAGCATTTATTTTTCGATTAAAATCCTAATATACAAATAGCCTATACTAAAAACATTAATGATTAGTTTGAGAGAAATAGTCTTAAAATCATTTGAGATTATGCAACTAGATCAATGAATCAAGCAGCCTTACAAATATATCACTCAACTGATATATAGGCAAAGAAGGCTCAAGTCACTCCATGGTTTCTTTTCAATGTGTTGATCGTGGTACTTTTGAGATCACACGGTACATTTACATAATCGCCAATAGTTAGAGTGAACCATCTTTTCTTAGTTTTATACTTTTATTAGGCCAACTCCATTTATAGCTCTAACAGTTTTACGGAGTATAAAGAATTGATGTAAAAGGTAATTTTTTCGCTACATCTCATACTTAGAGCTGTACGGAAATAATAACGTTGGACGTAATAATTTTGTAATATTTTGTAATATTCTTTCCTTTGTAACCGTAGTATGTGTAGTTTATTTCTTTCCTTAGTTTAGCATACGGTTACACTAGTCTCTTTATTTCCCTTTATTTTCCTTTATTTCCTTCCTTTTTGGTTCTTACGTGTAAAGTGTATAAGTTACAGCATGTTTGCAATACAGAGTTAAGGAAATTCATTCAAACATTATTTTCTTCCCGTCGGATTCTTCATGGTATCAGAGCCAGGTGCCTAAAACCAAACCGTAATTCTCTTCTTCTTGCAAACCCAACACCATGACTGGATCTCAGACGAACACGGAGAACAATTCTGGGATGAAAGAATACCGACGGAAAGTGAATGACCCGTCCTCTCCCTATTACCTTCCCAATTCAGATTTTCCAGGCGTCAATATCTGTGGCGTGGTGTTGAAAGGGGATTCAAACTACCGGGAATGGGCGACGGCAATGAGAAATGCATTCCGGGCAAAAAGAAAGCTCGGGTTTCTTGACGGGACGATCTCACTTCCTGAAGACAACGATGATGCGGAGGACTGGCTTAGCGTAAATTCGATGCTGGTGGGCTGGCTGATGAGCTCCGTTGACCCTTCTGTACGCAGCACAATTGCCTATGTTGACTCGGTACACGAGATGTGGGAAGATCTCAAAGCCCGATTTGAAGTAGCCGATGCCATGCGTTACCATGAGATAAAGGAGGCACTGCAGAATTGCCGCCAGGGAAGCTCGTCGGTGACCGACTATTTCGGAAAACTGAAATCTCTCTGGGATGATCTCTCTGGTTACCGGAAGATACCTTCCTGTAAATGTGGAGGGTGTACCTGCGACCTGGAAAAGGAGTTCCTTGCTGCCGTGGAAGCTGAGAAAGTCCATGATTTCTTACTGGGTCTCAATGGAGCTACTTATGGAACACTGCGTTCCAATATTTTAAGCATGACAGAACTGCCAAGTCTCAGCCGGGCATACCAAATGATGATTCAAGAAGAGAGGCATAAGCATATGACACGTGTGCAAGACGCAAGGGAGGATGCCACAGCATTTGCTGTGCAAACTGACGGTCGATGGAACACAGGGATTTCATCTCGTGGCAAGGGGAAAGAGAAAATGATTTGCTCATATTGCAAAAAAGAGGGGCATGAGAAGAACCAGTGTTTCAAATTAACTGGAGAATATCCTGATTGGTGGTTTGCAAACAAGGGAGGACGAGGACGCGGGAAGAGTCCAGGACCCGGTCGTGGACGAGGGGAAAGTAGTGCTTCAGCTAATGCTGTTTTGACCAATGCAACTGAAGGCAGAGATGGTGGACTGGATCGAGAGAAGCTGCCAACAATAACAAATGAACAATGGGAGACTTTTCTTGCCTTTGTTAACAAAACGAAAAATGATCCAGGTGACAAAGTAGAGAAATTGTCAGGTATGAACATCAATAATAATTGGTTACTTGACACCGGAGCTTCATATCATATGACTGGAAACAAAACTTGTTTGATTGACTTATGTGTCATTAATTCGTCCCCGGTAACTCTCCCTAACGGTGATATGACCTTAGCAACCCATGTTGGACGTGTCAAATTGGGACCGGGAATTGTCTTGAGTGGTGTACTTTTTGTACCGAAACTTACGTGTAGTTTGATTTCGGTTGGACGTCTTATTGATGATATTTCATGTCATGTCATTTTTTCTGACAAGTTTTGCGTGATACAGGACCTCACTTTGAAGACGCTGATTGGAGCGGGTGAACGTCGGGGTGGGGTCTACTATCTGTGTGGTGTCGGACGTGCTCAAGCCTTTCATATGGGTAGTAAGGATGATTTTGATCTGTGGCATCAACGGATGGGACACCCGTCAACAAAGGTGGTTCGCATGCTTCCAGTTT